AATATCCTACTGTCTCAAAAAATCATCATCGAGTGAATTGCTGACGGGCGTGTGTGATCATGAATTTCTACATCCAGCTATCATCAATTTGATGCAACCTGTCACGAGATAAAGTTCTGATGGGTTGCCTGTCGCTGGTACTTGCCTATCTGTGACAAGACGTTGCAGAGCCAACCCCGGCATTTTTTAGTTGTTTGTGATTTTACTAGACTATTTCACGTCCAGCTGTTTGCCACTGATCACTACACGGTTGGCTCTCGATATCAGCGTCGAAACCAACACTAGGCGGCCTGTCGCCAAATCGTCCGCAGCTTGGATCGGACCTGGCACCCTAGAATTATGAAACATGTTCGCATCGGCTTATTCACAGACGCCGACTCACTGTACGCCATATGCTATATTAAATTTCACAGACGCCGACTCGCTGTACGTCGTATGCTATATTAAATTTCACAGACGCCGACTCGCTGTACGTCGTATGCTATATTAAATTTCACAGACGCCGACTCACTGTACGCCGTATGTTATATTAAATTACACAGATGCCGACTCACTGTACACCGTATGCTATATTAAATTGCACGGTCTTATTTATTTACAAACTGGTAAAATTATTACATCATATATGCTGTTCTAAATGGATCAAAATGAACTGACAAGCATACATAACCACTATTGGAATAAGATATCAACTTTGTACGCCTAGATGAAGTGAATATGATGTCGCTGATTAACTTTCATTTACAAGTTTTTCTTATCACATTGTCTCTTCCTTTCTTAGGTGTATTTCCTTTTTCGCTTTCACTAACCGCTCCCCCCCCCCCGCTCTCTATTGTCTAAATATTAATTCCGCATGGCTTGTATCTTATTTATATAAGTGTATACGTGTGGTTGTGGGCATATGTGGGTCTGTACATGTGAGTGTAAATGTGTGGTGGGCATATGTTGGTGTCTGTACATGTGAGTGTAAATGTGTGGTGGCCATATGTTGGTGTCTGTACATGTGAGTGTAAATGTGTGGTGGACATATGTGGGTGTCTGTACATGTGAGTGTATATGTGTGGTGGACATATGTGGGTGTGTACATGTGAGTGTAAATGTGTGGTGGGCATATGTTGGTGTCTTTACATGTGATTGTATATGTGTGGTGGGCATATGTGGGTCTGTACATGTGAGTGTAAATGTGTGGTTGTGGGCATATGTGGGTGTCTGTACATGTGAGTGTAAATGTGTGGTTGTGGACATATGTGGGTGTCTACATGTGAGTGTAAATGTGTGGTGGGCATATGTTGGTGTCTGTACATGTGAGTGTAAATGTGTGGTTGTGGGCATATGTGGGTGTCTGTACATGTGAGTGTAAATGTGTGGTTGTGGACATATGTGGGTGTCTGTACATGTGAGTGTATATGTGTGGTGGGCATATGTGGGTCTGTACATGTGAGTGTAAATGTGTGGTTGTGGGCATATGTGGGTCTCTGTAAATGTGTGGTTGTACCCATATGTGGGTGTCTGTACATGTGAGTGTAAATGTGTGGTTGTGGGCATATGTTGGTGTCTGTACATGTGAGTGTAAATGTGTGGTGGACATATGTTGGTGTCTGTACATGTGAGTGTAAATGTGTGGTGGGCATATGTGGGTGTCTGTACATGTGAGTGTAAATGTGTGGTTGTGGGCATATGTGGGTGTCTGTACATGTGAGTGTAAATGTGTGGTGGGCATATGTTGGTGTCTGTACATGTGAGTGTAAATGTGTGGTGGACATATGTGGGTGTCTGTACATGTGAGTGTAAATGTGTGGTGGACATATGTGGGTGTCTGTACATGTGAGTGTAAATGTGTGGTGGACATATGTGGGTGTCTGTACATGTGAGTGTAAATGTGTGGTTGTGGGCATATGTTGGTGTCTGTACATGTGATTGTATATTTGTACATGCATGGATGCATGTATAGGTGTGTGTGTATGGAATGTGTGTGTGCATGTATATCCATAAATGTATGTGTGTGTGTGTTTTCTGTTTATGCATTTATGTCTACGTATGTGTCTATGTATTGCGTATGTCTGTATATGAGTGCGCATGTATGAGAACATAGGAGTATGTATACGTGTTTGTGAGTGTGTACGATTGTGTACATGCCCGTCTCTTTAGCGTAGTTGGCTAAACCGGATTGAGCGGGTGACAAACTACTTGTGGTCCGGGTTCACTCCCGGGGGTGGGCAGAAAAGCCACATTTCTCCTAGATTTACGGTATTTACAGTGGAATCAAGACCAAAAGGTTGCGATATCCATAATACCGAGCCTAAGGGTTAACAACTCATGGCTTCTGGATACTAAAACAAACAACAAACAAACGATTGTGTGCACATGATGTGTGTATGCATTATTCTATAATTTATATTTCTTTATTATATCCATAACATGCATTATTGATAACAGGCATTGGTACTCTGAAAAATGAGTGCTTAGAAGGGCAGAATGTCAGACGGGCCTGCGTGCCTAATTTGTAACCCTTTGAAAATTAAGTTTGTTCGTTCGTTCTGCATTCTTCTACCTTCTTACTTGTTCTCTGTTCTTCTGCTGCCTTAATGTCTTTCTTTCATTACCACTGCTCTGTTTAATCTCTATCTTCTGTGTCCGCGTTTCTGATCTCTGTCATTCTGTCTCACTCTATTTCTCCCTCATCCCAATTCCCCAACTACCAGTCCTATTGTTATACCTGTGGCTCTTTCACTGATCTGCCAGTAGAGCCTCACTCCCAGACCAGGGTTGCCAATTCAATTGTTTTTTTGAAAAATCCAGCCAAGCTCAACAAAAACCCAAGCAATACATACGCAAAGCTCAAGATTGTTGAAAAGTACAAAATTTATAGTTAAGAAACGAAACTTTTACCCACTTTTATGTGAGGATATATATTTTTTTAAAAACACATTTCAAAACTGTAACAGAGGGCGTCAAATAAAAACACAGATATGGGAGTAAAACCCACACCATTGGCAGCCCTGTACGAGACCACACCTGGTACTAAAAGAAGTCAACTGTGACGGCACAAAACTAGGTCAGCCACTTCTCTCGTGACTTGCTGTACTTAATGACTACTGGCCATTCTTTGCTTTCTCCCCCGGACTCCTCTTCCATCTCAGGTATAAAGGGAACTTTATAAATGTGGATCTTCAGAGGCTTCAAGAGGGCTTTTTGTCGGCCCCACCCACATGACAACCTGTGATTTTGCCTTCGTCCTCTTTTCCTGCTTCCGGTGTGGAGGGAGATGTAAGGTCCTGCTACGTGCTCTTCTGGCTGTTTTAACCATAGACACTCCATGGTGCTGTAGAGTTTCTCTATGTTATCTTCCTATCATCTTCTGTGCCCTTCTCCTTTTTTAGCATATGCCTTGAATGGTATAGCACCAGAAGGCATTCTCTCCAGGTTTGATATGCTGTCTTTGTATGTAATTTAGAATTGGTTCTATACAGACTTTATCTCTTATGACCTAATTCCTGTTTTCTTCTTTTCTGGTCACTTCTTCAGCCTTTCTCAGACACCACATTTTCATGGTTACTAACTTTCGTTGAACTCTTTGAGTCCCAGGCATCATAGGCCCAAGGGATAGTCAAGAGAGATGTAAAATTGGCACATCTTGCTGCGTTTATGAGGCCTCTAGAAAGAAACCTATGTTGCGATCCTTGTGACTCAAATAGTTAAGTTTTGTTGTGAGTGACAACGTCAAGCAGTGACAGCATAGGGTGGGAAAGACAATGCTTTGTATTATGGGTTTCTTTGTGCTGATTAGGATTGCCTTATGGTGTAATTCTAGCCTTGGGATGCCCAAATCTAACCGTTGTCTTGTGTTCACCTGCTGCAAACTCCAGAGGAAACTTCTGGTTGCTTGTTCACTTCTGGACTTTGATCGTGTTGGCTTTTGAGTGCACATCCGTTTTATATATCTGGCAAATTTATTTGCAGACTGTTGGTTTCTCGTCTCTAAGGCAGATGCATTCTGACTTGAAGGAAAGCCCTAATTAGATGTTTCAAATGGAACCCACACATGGAATGTCTGTTTGATTTGGTTGATAAGAAATACACGGAATGTTCCTCTGTTGGATTCTCAAACCAAAAGTGGCTCGCCCTGTGCCACTGGATTTAGAGTTATGTTAAAAAATATATCGGACCTGAATTTGTCCCACGGAAACATAATTAGTCATATACAATCTTTTGAGCTGCAATTGCAGAAAATAAAAATATAAAATAATCTTTTCTCCCTACAAATTAGTAAAATCTATGACAAAGAAAAATATAGCTAATATTCAGAAATATTCATTGTTGGTAAAACAAAGAACCATAGTAACAGCTCGACCAATGATGTGACGGGTTTGATGCATGAATGAACAAACGAATGAAGAGCTGAAATCCTTGCACTTGGGACATTACCACACGTGCTCCGTCTCCTTCTGCAGTAGCCAAAAAAAAAAGAGTTGATAGGCTAATAGTAGCTGTTGCATCTATTGAAAGTCCGCCTTTGCTTTCCCCGTAGTGTGGAATATCTTCTAGACTCCTTGTCATAGATGAATATGAAGGAAAGAAAGATCTCAGGACACATAAAAGAAAGGAAAAACTAAAAATGACCACACCAGGATTTGAACCTTATGCCTTCGACTGCCTGTAGGAGCAAGTGTACTAGGTCTGGTCAAAAAGTGAAGCAAAGGACATATTTCCCGCCATTAGGAACATGATACATTTACCATCCCATAGTTGCTTATTCCCCAAGACCAACTGGCATTCCATGAATGGTGTGGATCAAATCATCGCCTTTACTTACAAGGGCAATTTCTAGGAACTAATTTAGAATGATGTTCAAAGAGATATCCAACCAAAATGTGTCCCACGGAAACAGAATTAGGTATATACAAATTAATTAGTTGAATACACATGGACGATATACTGCACAAACACACTATAGGAAATCTAGTTAACAAACGGTACACATCTCAGGTAGTCAGTCTCACCTTGTGCGAGGTCCTGTTTGGCAGAGAGGTCATGCCCTTGAGCACCTTGGGAAAGTCCTGCTCACAGACCAGGCTACCCTGGATCAGGCCGTATTTGTCTCCCGTGTTGAGGGGTATGTGACAGGTACAGCAGGTAAAGCACTGTTGGGGAGACAGAGAGGGAGATCAATGATGAGTATACAAGGGAGATCAATGGTGAGTATACAAGGGAGATCAATGGTGAGTATAGAAGGAAGATGAATGGTGAATATAGTAGAAAGGAGATGAATTGTGGGTATAGAAAAAAGGAGATGATTTGATATTATGGAATACAGACGGATTGTAAGTATAGAAGAAGGGAGATAAACTGATATTATAAAAGGCGGATAAATGGTGATGGCGGAAGAAGGAAAGTAAATGGATATTATGGAATGTTGATAAATGGTGAGTGTGTGAGAAAGGAGGTGAATTGTGAATACAGGAGGAAGATACAAGAAGGAAATGAATGACCGGTATAATAGAAGCAAGATAAATGGTGATTTAGGAGAAGGGACGTGATGGTGAGCATAACAGGGAGATGAACAGGGAGTTTAGAAGAAAGATTAGCGGTGACTAGAAGGGAGATGCATGGTGAAAAGAAGAAGGGAGATGACCGTCAGTATAGAGAATAAAGGAGATAAGGATGATTATAGGAAAAGTGAGATTATGTTGAATATAGAAAAAGGAAGAGAAATCGTGAGACAAATGTTACTGTGTGGCCGAAGAAGCTGAACTAGATTCTACTGCCCCAATAGAGAACGCAATTTTTCGTTATTTAAAGCCCCAGTCCGGCTGTTTTTGGGGGGCTCAAATATAACCTAACGGTTGAAAGGAGTACTTGCGACCGGGTGATTTACATCAGAATGGTATCACTTTGTGCCACAGAGTGTTTATCGTTCGCTGCACGGTCTTGCTAGCTTGGCTAAACTTCATTCATTCATGGACTGCATTCAATTCTAAATATCAAAAGGACTGTATAGGATACAGTGGAGTGAAGACCTAGTCTCGAGTCCTGCTTGAACTACAGCCGTTCAACAGGATGCCATATATATACACATATACCTCCTCTTCTTCTTCGCGTTCACCAGCTGTAAACTCTGGCTGAAGGTTCTGGTTGCTCGTCCACTACTGAACTGCAGTCCTGCTCCAGAACCTGAGTGTTGCGTGTGCATCAGTTTTACAGATCTCATTCTCTTGAATACAGACTGTTGGTTCCTTGCCTCTCCGGCAGATGCACTCCAACTTCAAAGGAAGCTCCCAATTAGTCGACTCTTACGACATGCTTTTGGGGAGGCAGTGGGTCTATTCTTGTTTTCCCGACAATGGGACCTCGGAACCCACACGGGAAGGGGGGGGGGGGGGGGGGGGGGGTAACCAATATATAGAACTAGACCTATATTTGAACGACTTGGTGATCAATGGGTGATGCTGTCAACGTCACACCGGCTACCTTTACTTCCCATAAATTTACTTGGATCTACCTGTGAGCCTAATTATTTGTAAAAAAAATCTAACTCGATGGGGATTTGAACTCACAACATTTGGGCATGCAGGCAAGAGAGTACACACATACACCATGTGTCCGTAAAGTCATGCTGCACTTTGGACCAGTCACATGAAAACAGTACAACCATGACATATTGGATATGTATATGAAAATATGTATATGTGTACATATGTATAAATGTATATACGTATAAATGTATATACATATATGTGTACATTTGTATATGAAAATGATATATGTATATGCGTATATATGTATAGGAAAATGACAAAAAACTGACCTTAAGGTGGTAGACTTTGGTCTGAGCCCGCATGACCAGTTCGCTGGCTGGAATAGGCTGTCCACATCCACAACAGGATCCGCTTGAACCGAACAACCTGTCAACAAACACAATCTATGTTAATCCAAAGAACCTGTCAACAAACACAATCTATGTTAATCCAAACAATCTGTCAACAAACACAATCTATGTTAATCCGAACAACCTGTCAACAAACACAATCTATGTTAATCCAAACAATCTGTCAACAAACATAATCTATGTTAATCTGAACAACCTGTCAACAAACACAATCTATGTTAATCCAAACAATCTGTCAACAAACACAATCTATGTTAATCCGAACAACCTGTCAACAAACACAATCTATGTTAATCCAAACATTGTGTCAACAAACACAATCTATGTTAATCTAAACATTGTGTCAACAAACACAATCTATGTTAATCCAAACATTGTGTCAACAAACACAATCTATGTTAATCCAAAAAACCTGTCAACAAACACAATCTATGTTAATCTGAACAACCTGTCAACAAACACAATCTATGTTAATCTGAACAACCTGTCAAACAAACACAATCTATGTTAATCTGAACAGCCTGTCAAACAAACACAATCTATGTTAATCTGAACAACCTGTCAACAAACACAATCTATGTTAATCTGAACAACCTGTCAACAAAAACAATCTATGTTAATCCAAACAACCTGTCAACAAACACAATCTATGTTAATCCAAACAAACTCTCAATAAACACAATCTATGTTAATCCAAACATTGTGTCAACAAACATAATCTATGTTAATCAGAACATTGTGTCAACAAACACAATCTATGTTAATCCAAACAACCTGTCAACAAACACAATCTATGTTAATCTGAACAATCTGTCAACAAACACAATCTATGTTAATCTGAACAATCTGTCAACAAACACAATCTATGTTAATCTGAACAACCTGTCAACAAACACAATCTATGTTAATCTGAACAACCTGTCAACAAACACAATCTATGTTAATCTGAACAACCTGTCAACAAACACAATCTATGTTAATCTGAACAACCTGTCAACAAACACAATCTATGTTAATCCAAACAACCTGTCAGCAAAACACAATCTATGTTAATCTGAACAACCTGTCAACAAACACAATCTATGTTAATCTAAACAACCTGTCAGCAAAACACAATCTATGTTAATCCAAACAACCTGTCAGCAAAACACAATCTATGTTAATCTGAACAACCTGTCAACAAACACAATCTATGTTAATCCAAACAACCTGTCAGCAAAACACAATCTATGTTAATCTGAACAACCTGTCAACAAACACAATCTATGTTAATCTGAACAACCTGTCAACAAACACAATCTATGTTAATCCAAACAACCTGTCAATAAACACAATCTATGTTAATCTGAACAACCTGTCAACAAACACAATCTATGTTAATCTGAACAACCTGTCAACAAACACAATCTATGTTAATCCAAACAACCTGTCAGCAAAACACAATCTATGTTAATCCAAACAACCTGTCAGCAAAACACAATCTATGTTAATCTGAACAACCTGTCAACAAACACAATCTATGTTAATCCAAACAACCTGTCAGCAAAACACAATCTATGTTAATCCAAACAACCTGTCAGCAAAACACAATCTATGTTAATCTGAACAACCTGTCAACAAACACAATCTATGTTAATCCAAACAACCTGTCAGCAAAACACAATCTATGTTAATCTGAACAACCTGTCAACAAACACAATCTATGTTAATCTGAACAACCTGTCAACAAACACAATCTATGTTAATCCAAACAACCTGTCAATAAACACAATCTATGTTAATCTGAACAACCTGTCAACAAACACAATCTATGTTAATCTGAACAACCTGTCAAAAAACACAATCTATGTTAATCCAAACAACCTGTCAGCAAAACACAATCTATGTTAATCCAAACAACCTGTCAACAAACACAATCTATGTTAATCCAAACAACCTGTCAGCAAAACACAATCTATGTTAATTCGTTTTTCCCCAGGAAATATTAATTTGAAAATCACTAGAAACTTTCCAGCGCTGAAGGTGCAACTCTTTCAATTTCAGGAGATTTCGTATTTTCTTTGTCTAACTCTTCTTTTTCTTTCTTTTTTTTTTTTTTTCATCTCCTATTTAACTACTTCGAGTGTAGATGGAGATGTAAGGTTCTGCTACTTGCTCTTTTGGCTGCCTCCACCATGTAAACCATAATGCTGCTGTAGAGTTTCTCTGATGTTATCTATCCATGTATATGTGTATATATGGCTCTGGGTAGTGAGATCGGACGCCCGTGTGTACTTTTTCTGATGTTATCTATCCATGAGGTTGTTGGTCAGCCTCATGCTCTATGTCCATCTACTCTTCCTGTGTGCGCTGTCTATCGCATGCCTTCACATGGCATTCTCTCTCACCATTCTATGTGCTGGCTCTATGTATAATTTAGTATTGATTATGTACCAATTTTTCTCTTATCTTTTTCTTCTTCTTCGCGTTCACCAGCTGTAAACTCTGGCGGAAGGTTCTGGTTGCTCGTCCACTACTGAACTGCAGTCCTGCTCCAGAACCTGAGTGTTGCGTGTGCATCAGTTTTACAGATCTCATTCTCTTGAATACAGACTGTTGGTTCCTTGCCTCTCCGGCAGATGCACTCCGACTTCAAAGGAAGCTCCCCAATTAGTCGACTCTTACGACATGCTTTTGGGGAGGCAGTGGGTCTATTCTTGTTTTCCCCACAATGGGGCCCCGGAACCCACATGGGGGTTTTTCTCTTAAAACTTCAGTCCAGATTTTATGGCTTCTGGTTACTGCTACTGTCTTTCTCATACATCTAATGTCCAAACTTACCACCTGTTTTTTTTTCTTTCTGGTGTATTATTAATGGCCATGTCTGGCACTGGTAGCAATGAAAAGGGATGAACATGCTTTGTATGAGAGTTTGTACTGACCGGTACCGTCGTATGTTGCCAGATTTCATGGTATGAACACAGCAATTGGTTATAGGTGTCACGCTGGGAGGATCCAGATGTTGCTGTCTTGTCTTTTGCTAGTAGCCTAGCCCGTGGTAGTGTCATACTGCGTTTCTGGGTGTATCTTTTCACTCCCTTCACTTATCTCTTTCTTGGTCGGCCTCTTGCCTTGTATTGTAGCCTGTTGTTTTCAAGTAGAACGCTCTAGCTGCAGGCTGATTTTATTCCATTCTGACCAGACAACCAAACCCATTGATTCTTTGATGTTCTATGACATCATAACCGCTACTGTGCCGACGATATAATTATATATATATATACACACACTCACACATTGTTACAAAAGCTTTCTCTCTTTCTCTCTCTACATATGTTCTCATAAAGTGTACCCCCATTCTGGTCCGGCCTAATATACCTCCCCAGCCCTCCTGCCTTCTAAAACACTGCCTGTCCTGTCCTCGTCTGCTCGCAGAACCTCGACACCCCACTGACCCCAAATCGACCCCCAAGTTACCAGACTACAACAAAAAACACAATTTAACCACCTCACACCCTCATACGATAAATTCTTCCCCTTTCCCCCAAAAACATCAGAAGGAAGATTTGAAATTATCACAAGGCATCTGTACCACGCTTCCAGATCTCCCAAAAACATACACAACAAGAGAAGCCGCAATCAAACAGCGGTAATTAGTTTCTGTTCAAATATTTGATTATGGTCGGTATTTGCCGATATTTATCAAAGCTGGAATCAATTTGGAGCCAGCGCTCACTTTTGTATGGTTTAAATGGATTCTATTTTTAGATTCAATCAAGGAGTGAAGGGAAAGGTGATAGCGGAGGGGTGGAAGGTATAGTGTCTGCTGAAAACACGTAATTAAATGTTGGCAGTAGCAAACAGAAGGGGTGTGGGGGGTGTGTGTGTGTGTGTAGGGGTGTGTGTGTGTGTGTGGAAGGGTGTGGGGTGTGTGGAAGGGTGTGGGGTGTGTGGAGAGAGGGGGGGGGGAGTCTACTGAGGGTTAAGTGAAAAACTGTACTTTTTAAATACTGTTGCGAAAAGTAAAGGGGGCATGAACTGAACATTTCACACATCAAGGGTTAACTCAACAAGTCCTATGACATGAACAATAGACCATTATGAACTTTTTCGTTTGGGGAGGCTACGTGGTCACGAGGCTTGGTGTCCGCCTCGAGTGCTGGAGTACCGGGTTTAGGCCCCGTTGAAGGCTGGGATTTTTCAAGTAGATTTTCAGCCATTTTCCTGGGCTCTGGGTAGTGAGATCGGACGCCCGTGTGTACTTTGCTTGAGTTGGAAATAGAACGAAGCACTTATGGGTTATACCCGTATGCTATGATGTCAACCATCAGTGGAATAAACCAATAACATTAATGCGAAAGACGGTATTCTTAAACCAGTTTGCGGGCCTACTCTGGCGGACCGTGAGAAAGACAAGGAATGGAAAGGGGGGGGGGGGGGGGGGGAGAGAGGCGGCAACAATTTATGCCCAATCATGTAACGCGGTAGAGTAGGTAGTTTCTTCACCACCTCTTGGACCACTAGAACTTGATTAGTTCTCTCACGAAGCTCAACATTAAAATGTGTCTACCATATATTTAATTCCCTCTGTTCTATACAGACAGCAGTGATGTGACGTATGTTTGTAGATAAGTAGTCAATGATCGCAATGTTTCCGCTCCATACAGAAGTATTTATTTGACACTAGAATTAAAAACAGTGAGATTATTATTAGTCTACAGCCAAGCTACACATCGTCAGAGTATACTCCCTAACATCGTCTTTAGCAGGAATAAAAATAAAGTAATAACCAGCATGTAGTGCCCAAAGAGCGCACAGTCAACAGATACGCAGACTCATTTTCGTCTATGTTATACTCCACCCCCCCCCTTAAAGTAAACTCTCCCTGCTTCTCTCTCTCCCCCTGGTCAAGAGCTGTTTGTTCATGCGATCAGAATTAATGTTCTTTGCTGACGTATTTATAGAGGGCGCTTGTGTTGAGTTAATTTCTTTACCGTATACCCGGTCATAAATGTCCGGTCAATGGTTGAGGGTAAGGAAGAAATGACATCGTTCGCTGTATTTTTGTTTCAGTAAGGCACTCCGGAAGTGAGATATTTCACAGAATTTGAGTTATTTATTGTTATTATTATTATTTTGCAGGGGGGGGGAGGGGGGGGGGGGAACCATCGTCTGGCTTCCAGGGATAATTACCATAAATAATATTACACACATTTATCAGTAGCGATATGGCGCCATAGAAGACAGTGGGAGAGCGGTAGGACTAATTAGATCAACGAAATAACAGCATAATGGCGGTCTTCAACGACGCAGTGTCCGTCTGTTGGGCAACTGTTCTGCCTCTGTAGTGTTATTACGCTGTTACTTTTTTGGTAGTCAATGTTCAACATTTAAATATCATCATCATCACGTAGCAGGTCCTTGGCAGAACGTCGCTCTCATCACAGTATACCGGAAAGCTATTCATAGTTTACCCACCTCGTCAGCTTACCTTACCCGCTTAGGGTGTTCTTAACATCAGGCTGTGGGTCGAATCCTGCCTCTGCTCCCAGAAACCAGACCCACCATTACTGTTCTTTCCTAACGATTACGTCATTTCCTGTGGCTGAATAATTTCAATTTCCCAGAAAGCATACTGACTATGGGTCAATGTCCTTCTGTATTCACACATCAGCATGTGTCTCTTTTTTGATCCACAATATTCTGCGAATCTACCCACAGCCTTCAGGTTAAAAAGCCCCAAACTTCTTAGTACTTGCGAAATATCTGTAAAACGGATATGCTTGGGAAAAAAAACTCAAAAACAAAAACTTTCTGCATGAGTTTTACAACCGGTGAATGAGAAGAAGAAGAAGAAGAAGAAGAAGAAGAAGAAGAAGAAGAAGAAGAAGAAGAAGAAGAAGAAGAAGAAGAAGAAGAAGAAGAAGAAGAAGAAGAAGAAGGAGGAGGAGGAGGAGAAGAAGAAGAAGAAGAAGAAGAAGAAGAAGAAGAAGAAGAAGAAGAAGAAGAAGAAGAGTTTATACGGTTGATCACAATTTTCTCGTAACATTTATGTTCAGAGACCTTGATGTTCTCTCTCTCTCTCTCTCTCTCTCTCTCTCTCTCTCTCTCTCTCTCTCTCTTTTCTCTGTGTGTACGTACGTGTGTGTGCATTTGTAAAACTGTACATAATTTACACCCATACGATGACACACTGAAGGTGGGGATTCTCAAATTTGTTACGTGGTTATTGGTGTTAGTGCTTTTTATTATCGGACAGGCAGGCAGGCAGGCAGGCAGGCAGGCAGGCAGGCAGGCAGGCAGGCAGGCAGACAGACAGACAGACAGACAGACAGACAGACAGACAGATAGATAGATAGATAGATAGATAGATAGATAGATAGATAGATAGATAGATAGATAGATAGATAGATAGATAGATAGATAGATAGATAGATAGATAGATAGATAGATAGATAGATAGATAGATAGATAGATAGATAGATAGATAGATAGATAGATAGATAGATAGATAGATAGATAGATAAAGCCGACTGACAAACAGAGAGACACTGACCTGATATAATCGTTACGACACAAGATCATGCCAGCCTTAGTGAAGCAAGTGGTTCCGATCTCGCCCAATTGTGCCTGACAGCAGGAGCACTTGAGACAGCCCGTGTGCCAGTACCGGTCCATGGCCAACAAGAGAAACCTGTCGTGGATCCGAGCCCCGCAACCCGCGCAGGATTTGGGAATCCCTGACTGGTTGACCGTGACGGCGCCGTTTTGTGAGGATGTCACACTCGGACCCATCATGGAGTAGCAGTGATGGCCAGGGGGGACCCTTTCTTCGGACACAAATAACTCCAGATTATCAAATCTCTGATTTTGCCTATTTTCGAAATGTTATATTGTTGCGATACTTCTACTTGTTGAGCGGTTATCTTCAGCAAGTCGAAGGCGTTGTCTGCAGTACAAAGTTATAATCCGATGCACTTCTAAGTTTCTACTGTGGTGGATGGAGTTTCTACAGAATATTTCCTGCCTGTCTTTAGCAAGCAGGTGCCTGTTATGTGTGTAGTATTTAGATGATACGACTCTAGGCCACACCCAGAGACTCTTCTCAGACAGCAGTTTCAGAAATGACCGAAACAACCAAGACGATTCTGAAGTTCTTAATCTGAGATGATCCTGTTCCTGTACACATCACTGGCTTGCTAAGATGTTCACATCAATGGCTTGCAAGGATGTTCACATCACAGTCAGACATCGTTGGGGATGGTGTACAGCTGTCTCTGAGTCTCATTCGTCTCCTGAAAAAAAAAAAAAGATTGATTCAGTATGTTTGCTCAAGTTGATTTAAAGGGAGAATATTTTTATGTATTTAATTTGATTAAGTCTTTCTTGTCGGTCTGCCGAAAGCGGCGCACACAACACGAGCCCCGTAGCTCTGTGACGACCGTTATAAATCTGCCGAAAACATTTGCAGCCATTAACGGAGGTCACAGTTCGAAAACGAAACGTCATAGCCAGAGGTTAACTACTTGACCACTTTAAAGTACGTACACATTTTACCCAGAGGGTTACCTTGCCCGTCTCCTTTGACTACAAGAGGTGGTCATTAGGTAAAGGTAACTGAAATAAAACGTATGTTTTTTTACACGCGGCGGACAAAAATTGTCCTGTGTGCCGACACGGTCTCTCTGTCTGGCTCAGCCATCGCATACAGCAATACCATCGCATACAGCAATACCATCGCAAACAGCAATACCATCGCATACAGCAATACCATCGCATACAGCAATACCATCGCATACAGCAATACCATCGCATACAGCAATACCATCCAACAATACCATCGCATACAGCAATACCATCGCATACAGCAATACCATCGCAAACAGCAATACCATCGCATACAGCAATACCATCGCATACAGCAATACCATCGCATACAGCAATACCATCCAACAATACCATCGCATACAGCAATACCATCCAGCAATACCATTCAACAATATCATCCAGCAATACCATCGCATTCAGCAATACCATTCAACAATACCATCCAGCAATACCATCGCATACAGCAATACCATCACATACAGCAATACCATCGCATTCAGCAATACCATCCAGCAATACCATCGCATACAGCAATACCATCGCATACAGCAATACCATTCAACAATACCATCACATACAGCAATACCATCGCATACAGCAATACCATCGCATACAGCAATAATATCGCATACAGCAATACCATCACATACAGCAATACCATCGCATACAGCAATACCATCACATACAGCAATACCATCACATACAGCAATACCATCGCATACAGCAATACCATCGCATACAGCAATACCATCGCATACAGCAATACCATCGCATACAGCAATACTATCGCATACAGCAATACCATCACATACAGCAATACCATCACATACAGCAATACCATCACATACAGCAATACCATCACATACAACAATACCATCGCATACAGCAATACCATCGCATACAGCAATACCATCGCATACAGCAATACCATCACATACAGCAATACTATCGCATACAGCAATACCATCACATACAGCAATACTATCACATACAGCAATACCATCGCATACAGCAATACCATCGCATACAGCAATACCATCGCATACAGCAATACCATCACATACAGCAATACCATCGCATACAGCAATACTATCGCATACAGCAATACTATCGCATACAGCAATACCATCACATACAGCAATACTATCACATACAGCAATACCATCGCATACAGCAATACCATCGCATACAGCAATACCATCGCATACAGCAATACCATCACATACAGCAATACCATCACATACAGCAATACTATCGCATACAGCAATACCATCGCATACAGCAATACCATCACATACAGCAATACCATCACATACAGCAATACCATCACATACAGCAATACCATCACATACAACAATACTATCGCATACAGCAATACCATCACATACAGCAATACCATCACATACAGCAATACCATCACATACAACAATACTATCGCATACAGCAATACCATCACATACAACAATACCATCACATACAGCAATACCATCACATACAGCAATACCATCACATACAGCAATACCATTCAACAATACCATCACATACAACAATACCATCACATACAGCAATACTATCGCATACAGCAATACCATCACATACAGCAATACCATTCAACAATACCATCACATACAGCAATACCATCACATACAGCAATACCATTCAACAATACCATCACATACAACAATACCATCACATACAGCAATACCATCACATACAGCAATACTATCGCATACAGCAATACCATCACATACAGCAATACCATCACATACAGCAATACCATCACATACAGCAATACTATCGCATACAGCAATACCATCACATACAGCAATACCATCACATACAGCAATACCATCGCATACAGCAATACCATCGCATACAGCAATACCATCGCATACAGCAATACCATCGCATACAGCAATACCATTCAACAATACCATCGCATACAGCAATACCATCACATACAGCAATACTATCGCATACAGCAATACCATCGCATACAGCAATACCATTCAACAATACCATCGCATACAGCAATACCATTCAACAATACCATCACATACAGCAATACCATTCAACAATACCATCGCATACAGCAATACTATCGCATACAGCAATACTATCGCATACAGCAATACTATCGCATACAGCAATACCATCGCATACAGCAATACCATCGCATACAGCAATACTATCGCATACAGCAATACTATCGCATACAGCAATACCATCGCATACAGCAATACCATCGCATACAGCAATACCATCGCATACAGGAATACCATTCAACAATACCATCGCATACAGCAATACCATTCAACAATACCATCGCATACAGCAATACCATTCAACAATACCATCACATACAGCAATACCATTCAACAATACCATCGCATACAGCAATACCATTCAACAATACCATCACATACAGCAATACCATTCAACAATACCATTCAGCAATACCATCGCATACAGCAATACCATCGCATACAGCAATACTCCAAGTGCACCAGTGCTGGTTGTTATCAAACATATTTGTTTATAATCTCTCTCAGCGGTTCTCAACCTATGGGTCGCGGCCCTTTCACAGGGGTCGCCAAAGACCAATGCAAAAACACATATTTACTGAGGTTATGAGGTAGCGAAGAGAACGGTTGTATGATTGGGGAGTCGACACAACATGGGAAACTGTACTGAAGGGTTGCGACATTAGGAAGGTTGAGAACAAATGATCTATCTGATCCTGACTTTTAAGGTATCATGAAAGTACTTCTTGTGACGTTGCTCCCAGGACACGTATTCCGGTTAGCGTTCGAGACGTGTCATCATCGCCATTCTAACCCGTGCAGCGCTAATTAGATCAGCTCTGTGAAGTCTTTCTTCTCGCTTCTATTGGCGTCTTGCTTACCATTTGTCCCGCTCGCTCTTTACCTTCCACACCGCCATGTTCAGGTCTGTAGATCCAGGTGATGGGGTGAAGTGCGACTTTCTACTTTCTAATCTCCATCTCCGCAAATGTGAAGTCCCGGTTCACGTCTGACATACTCCCAGGAGATCAACAAACCTCCACGGCGATATGGTACTTTGTTATTTGAGTCAGCAGAACTGACCATTATCACCGTAATAGATACAAGCCCTTTTCGTGACAAGACCACATGAACACCGAGCACAGAACGCAAGAGTTCTCGCTCAGTATTTTAGAGAATTCATCAGCGAAACATGCCTCTCGCGACCACAGCTTGAAAATCCCCGCCTAACGGTGTCCGCCACAATACCACAGATCGTCATTTTCGCTGAAAACTGGTGACCTCGGCACGAACAATGGCTCATCAACAGACTGACCACAATCTCCTAGACAACCGCAGCCGTGGACGATGCGACCTGTGGGTCGGTGGACCCTATGACCCCTGGGTCTTTGAAATAATTCAACAGCAGCTGGTGATCACGATGTTGATTACAATAACCACCTTGAGGCAGGACTGCAAATGCTGGGGTTTTCCCCCCAGATCTGGGTTTTTATTTGACGCATTGGGGAAATCTGTTTTTTTTTTTAAAAATATATCCTTATATAAAAGTGGTAACTTTGTCTATGTATTGCTTGGGTTTTTGATTAGCAAAGCTGGGTTTTTCAAAAAATCCCTCTGGCAGCCCCTAGGGTTTGTTTACCGGTAATGGCACGATGGACTGGGTGCATATTTTAAAACTAATAAGTTACAATATCATCATCAGGTGCCTTGCCGACTGGCGTGGGCGGTCATGCCTCTCCATAATCCACGATCTCCTGCAGCATGTATCAGTTCGTGTGCCGACACACCTCCATGCCATGCAACAAGACTGTCAAGAATCTTCTCTCGTTGTCTTCCTCTATCCCTCCTTCCACAGATCTTTCCAGTGGTCACTACGTCTTCTATTTTCCCTCTTTTCATAACATGGCCGAAAAATGATGACTGTCTCCTTCTGATGTCTGTGATAAGTTGTCTTCGGGCTCCCGCCTCTTTCAAAACCTCTTGGTTGCTCTTTTCGGCTGTCTAAGGTATTCTAAGCATTCTTCTGTAAAACCACATCTCTGAGGCCTCAAGAAATTGTTTGGCCTGCAATATAGTAGCTTTAATTGCGGCCGGCCAGTCTTCTTTGTCTTTTTTCGTTAGCCTCAAATAAATTGTCTAGTCTATACTAAATTTCAAATGGTC